GTGCGAGGGTGGCCTTAGCCTATGCTTCCATTTCTGGGTTAGGCCTAGGCTAGCGAAATGTTCCCCCAGAGATCGTCGAAACGAGTACCGTCGTACGGTTTTAATCGATTAGAGGCCTGTGGCTGCATTTGTGGCCTTTTGCACAATAAACCATAATTTAGCAGAAATGTTAAGTATTCCTCCCCACTGTGGGCTATCCACAGGTGAAAATAGTTCTCACCCGTTTGGTCGGTCAGGAAAAGGAAGTAATGGCTTCGGACGACCTTCGCGACTCTCACGGAGGTCCCTACCAATAATTAGAGAACGGAATCTTGATCCAGGGGGGTTCAATTTTTACCTTTTATATGTACCTTGTCACAACGGGCAAGTTTTAATCCAAGTCTCTACGATTTGACACAGACGTGCTTTGCGGACAACTGGCAACACGAGGAGAAAGTTGTCACCGAATTGACGATCTTTGTCCGACAAGTATCACGAATTCGATCATTACCAGCGTTTCAGCAGGCGCCATGGGCGCTTCGTCGCAAATGATGTCGTCCGTAGTCATTTCCTGAATTGTGTGCGATAAAATGCAAGTTTTACTTGAGATCCATTGGCAAGTCGAAGACCGTGTAAAATGCTTTACTACTAGGCAGCGGAACGGCTTCAATATGTGTCTATCCAACTCATTTCAGTCCTCTGCCACGAAATACGATAATGAGTGTAGTGTACAGGAATGTTTCACCAGTGCCAACTGCCCCATTGATGTTACGGGAAGAGCATCGCTGTTTCTCCGAGGTTTCATGCGCCATTGCATTTGAATAGTTTTTCTCGCATCTTAAACGTGGAGAATCTTGCGTAGGTTCCTGATTGAGATTTAATGGAGAACATTCCTAGGCTGATCGTAGCCAGTTGATAGACCACGCCGGATACTTTGAAGCAGTATGGACCGTTGCTGGGATTGTCAATAGCCGTTGGAGCGATAGAAGAACACGCGTTTGAACTGCTGCATGATACATTCGCGAATATTGAGCACACGTTTGCGTCTGCCTAGGCCTGCCTAGGCCTGTGCTCAACGTGATGATGGCAACGGCGAGAAGAGAGCCGAACAGTAACGGGGTACGGCTGTCTGCACGGCAATGTTGTGCAATGATATTGTCGTTGCGTGATGACTTAGGCGTGTAAGCGTTGAAATACCATTCAGAAGCCCATCTCCTTCCAACCGTTTAAAGATTGTTTATTAACGAATCTCGGCAGGTGAACCTTCCAGTTGAATTCTTCAAAAGCTCAATCCTCCACTTCCACTCATGCACGCCTAAACTGTACATTTGATGTGATTATGCTGCTGCGGAATCTTTCGATCGGGAACGACCTTTGCAACGGCACGCCTATAACCAAGAGGGACACGAACGCAAATGTCCATAAAGTTGAGGCGATCTTAGCTGCACTGAGCGCCTTTAGCAACATAGTGATCTATGATATTTATATCATGAGCAATAATAGTCCTGACGATTAGGAGAGAAACTTTCCCATGTGTTGCGTTGCTCGATCTTTCTTGGTCACATATGTGATTAGTTTACTCTTGTCCAGTTAACTAATCGTCAGGTTTTGTGCTTACTCGCAGACGTAGCATACTATGCCCCCGAATCTTTTTCTGTACATATATGCTCCACCGTGAACTTCAGAGCACACTTTGGAAGCGGTAACCTGGCTAAGACGGTTTTTAGTAGATGAGGAGTGACTATGGTTTAGTGCGTAAAAGGCCACAATTGCAGCCACAGGCCTCTAATCGATTAAAACCGTACGACGGTACTCGTTTCGACGATCTCTGGGGGAACATTTCGCTAGCCTAGGCCTAACCCAGAAATGGAAGCATAGGCTAAGGCCACCCTCGCACACTTCATTCCCTCGTGAAAGCGGGAAGACACCTTAACTGACATGTACATTTAGGTCAGTTGAGCCTTACTGCATATGTATAACGCACGAAGTCTACAAGGCTATGATGTGATCCGACAAATGCTAAACGAAGGGGTGTGTGAAAACGGCACATATCGTGATAGGCATTGCATGTATGGTTACGAAGGGGGAACGATGGATGGGACTAAGAAGGCATGAGAGGCCGATATATGTCAGGGAACAACCGGGATTTGAACCGGGCCTTCTGATCGCCGGTCAGGAGTGCTACCGTTACACCACCGAACTCGAAACAGTCGTGCCCCTCGATGCCATCCTCATCCGTCACAGTATTTACAAGCCAGTGTTTGACCACGCTGATGCGACTCCGTTAGGAAGTGGACCTCGTGCGCACACCATAAGACACTAGTAACAGTTCCTCATACGGGGAGATGTTGATGGAATGTTTGAAAAGAGTCAGGTTGACCAATCATGCTGAATTTAACTCTCACTGGCTAACTACTGGAGACTGGCAAGCAATCAGGGTATTTCCTTTAACTGAAGGATTACATACTGTGGAAATGTCGGAATTCGTAGGTATACGTGCTTCAGGGTAACATCCTAGCCTAGGCCTTATTCTCGGGTAGGAGTAGTGTAGGAATGGGCATTTCACTGTAATGCTTCCAGGAACGTATCTGCCGACCCTAATAGTCATATTGCTTTAGAATGATGGGGCGTTTCGTACCTCATGTGACCGAGGGGCCTAGAAGCTGTGAAACCTGCATATGGAAACTTTTGCGTCTTACAGGTCATAGCATAGAATACCATCTTCAGCTCTGAAACAGCATATGTACTATTATTTTTGGACGTCGCTTTAGGGTAGTAGAGGTCAGCAATTTGAACCGCTAAATAGTTGAAACCAGGTGTGGCGTGACTGCACTGCCCAGCAGGCAGCTTGAGGGTATTAATGCTAAGAAATACGGGAGGCAGCGTAAAGCTGTGTTGACTTACAGAATCTTATGAGGCTGTTGACGTTACGCGACGAGCAGCGCGTGTACGCTTGAAACCTTCATCTCATATTCGAGTTGTGTTGGCTGGGAAAACCCAGTATCGAATTCCACCCGTTCTGCACGATCTCAGCATTAAGTGCGGGAGGCTCTGTCCACCATTGCCGGGCTGATCGATTCGGGGCCTGATTTGCAGGACTCGATCGACGATGAATATTCGGTGTCAAAGTAGTTTCGCTGGATGGTGGCTTTCCCCGAGTGTTGCCAGTCGTCCACAAAGCAACTCGGGGTAATTCCTATCAAAACGAGCCCATTGTGACCATTGTCCTTTGCACTTCATTTGGCAGAGAGCATTTTTGCTGTTCAAGAATTTCATTTTACAACATCGGAACACTTCCGCGTGTGCAGAACTGTCGATCCGAATTCTCCGTGCATTTACTGGTTAATTTTATCTCGGGCTATTTGGTCATCAAGCTATTTGGACAACGTCGAAGGGTCTGCGGTGGCGAAGTGGGCAGCTATCATGCCATTCTATGTTCCACCAACGAGCTGCCCGTTTGGGCAATGCGGACGCGTCTGAATTGGATGTCCCGTCCCCGTTCAATGATTTGACGGTTTTTCGTTAATTCAGCTGTGGTAGCCTGATGCGAGTGGCCTACGAGCCCCACGCCTTTCAAGGCCACAGGCTTAGCGGAAGTTTAAGAGATACGTGCTAATGGGACTTATGGTACCAATGGGAATAGCTTCCATGAAATTTCTAAATTGACATGGGAGTAGACTGATTGAAATTAGGTGGAAAAGGGTTGGAAGCATGACTAGAATCAGTTAAAACAAATCTGCCATGAGTGGGGCCTTTCGAGAGAGCTCTTTCAGTGCCTGTGGGTGATTGACGGTTTGAGTCCACTCTTCTCTATCACTAGCTCTATGGTGTAACAAATTGCACTTGATGCAACGTGTTTTCTGACGTGCATAGCATCTATCAGCTGTGTCCCCACGTCTTTCACCAAAAGGAAAGAAAAACTTTGACAGACTCCTGGGTATGCCTCGAGTAAATCACCTGGAGGGTGGACGGTTTTGTCGCTACCCTCGGACCCGAACACGCACCTCCCTTATCTCAAACAGATCTATCGTCATCGATGTGAGCTGTCTCATCTGAGACTTCATATCCTGATCACGTCGCTTCGCATCCTCTTCTAATCTATAAATGCGATTTCTCAAATGCTCAGCCTGTCAGTCAGATCCTGGTTAATTTCAGACAATCTGTCTCCTTTCCGTCTAAATTCGTTCTAGTACATGAAGTTATATTTCTCCTCAGAATAATATTACGTTGACGACTAAGAATGAACGGCAAAAGACAGATATGTCTCTTCTTCCAGAATAGCATTCCCAGAAGTTCAATGGTGTGCATAGGTATGTCGTACATCAATTACGTGAAACAATATTTTAATTATTTATTTTAAAAAATTAGAGACTTGTAGTCAAACATTAGAACATAATGAAATACTCAATCCAACAAAAATTGCAAGCATCTCATTTTAAGAATTAATTCACCTTACAAATGAATATCAAGGCAAGGCAAATCAAAAAGTACACAATGCAATCAGACAAATATACACAGGTCACACTCGCAAATGCACATAGTATTCGCTGGAAATAGGTTCAAAGGCAACAGAAGTACTTGATACTGTCAGCTGAGAAGTGATACACGCTGTCCACTACCCTTCACATCTTCCAGGAAAGAGATTCTGCATGTTCCAATTCTGCCTCCATGGAACCAAAGTCTGTTGGAGGAAGAAGAGGTTTGGATTAGAAATCATTTCTATACTTGGCTCCCAGTCTTTCACCGAGACATCCGTAATGCATCCCACGGAACTGACCAGCAAGAAGCTTTTCTAATGAAATGATGACAGGATTATGTGCATCCATCCAACACCAGGAGCCATGGATGTGCGTCCTCTCCTGATTTCTCAAAAACCTCGTTCCTGGTTTCTAAGAAGACATCGACATGATCATATACCAATACTTGAGCTAAGTGAGGCATGTGGGATTGATAAAAACTGACCAAGAGTCTCCTGAGTCCCGCCCATCTCCTGAAGAAATATACAAGTAGAATTCCTCTTCAGGAGCCTTCTCACTGTGAGGAGCACGGAGTCCTAACAGTAGGATGAGCAGCACGTTCATAATCGGAATAATCGCTCGGCTAGAGAGGTGTCACTGGGTCACCTAAGGAGAAGAGCACTATGACAGAATATCCTTCTAACCCATAAATGAGTGAAACATTTTAGAAAAATAATTAAACTTCCATAATTTACCATGAGTAAGGCCTTCTCCAATCCCACTCTTGCATGTCCTAGGAGGTCACTGGCCTATGGAAACACAGGAAATACATAAAGGAATCACTTATTATTCTTGCAACACCTGTAACTTGATTCTAAGAATCTAAATGCTAAGGCAGTCTCTTGGCAAGCAATGTAATTGGGATGCGGTCATTCTTTGATTCACTCTTCCTAAGGAATCTCGAATTACCAAGTTATGTAAAACATACCTAGAGTCTGAAGCAAATGTGGACTTAAGAGTTTCAATCATATCTTCATCAAAGGCTCCTAATGTGTTGTCCCCCAAACTGTCCACACAGGAAGATTATGAATCATGTTTTAGTGAATTTTAACTGGCACATTCATGTTGAGATTAACATTTAAAACATTACTATATAAGTCACGAAGATGGTATCCATGACAATTCACATGGACCAAATCATGTTTTTGGCAGGAAGGTAGGACAAAAGCCTGAGTCGGCCAAATAAGAATCAAACAGGTACCATATGCCTAATTGAAATATTAAAACCTTAATTGCAACTTGTTATTCTCTCTTGTACTTCATACCAACATTTTAAGAAACTCGAGCTATTAAAGTAGGAATGCCAAACATTTTACGCCTTGTTTTGTCTCTCAGCTGATTTCTGAAAATATCCTGAAAAATTATGGCACAATCAAAAGTGAAGGAAATGCCGATTTTGGCATCTAACCACAATGGTATTATGATGTG